CATTCCTGCTTCCACCGTCATGGTTAATTAAATTAACTCTTTCTATACATGTTTTACTCTAATCGCCGTTGAAAACACAATTCCAGTGAGAAGATAATGACATTTCTGACAAGTTGCCTTAAGATCCAGACTTATTTGTGGTTTCAAATGACGGGCAGCACCCCCATTTTAGCCACCCTCATGTGTGTGTTAAAACGCCTCCGCTTTCGAGAAATGTTGAGGAAAAAAACAATTCCAGTGTCTTTTGTTTTTCTCCTGAGATAGTTTGTTCGGACGTACAAATTTGATGGGGAGAGCCTCCACCTCCTGGTCCAAATGGCAACCACCAGGAACTCTGAGTTGAGCGATCATCTGGACATCACCTTTCGGCCGAAGTCTGATTAATTCGGCAAGGAGTCGAGGTGTGCTTTACAGGCATCCCGGGAAGCGTGTGTCTTTTGTACACGAGGACCAAGTTTCCCTCTTCAACGCTGTTTTAATTGCTTGTTGTTGCTTTGTGTTTTTTTGTGGGGGGGGGTTTAGTTTGTCAGGGAGGGTTCATGACCTCTGGTTTGTCAGAAGACACGCACTGGCAACCAGTTGATAGTTTGATGGCTCTAATGACCTTGAGCGTAGTTAGTTGTTTTAATTGTCAAGTCGAATATAATCGAGTATTGACCTGACAGAAACCTGCCATGGTTGATTTTCGGCAATTAATGCGATTTGAGTGCAGTATCAGTCGTGTCATTTGGACACCTTAGCGGCGATTTCGTGGATTCGGTTGCTGGTTGGTCGACATCGGACCAATCGCTGCTACTTTGTAGGTGTCGTGGCAGTCATCTTCCTGACTCAGATTCATGTCATCAGTAGGCATGTGCATTGACCGTTTGGTTCCATAGAAACAGTTATAAATGTACAGCAGACCGACAGCAGAGGGTCCAACGTTTGTAACCAGGGTTGATTCGATTCAACAAGACAGAAGATTTGAGGTTGCTGGAGGCACTCACTGCGAGCACTGGCTGGTTATTGTGCTAGGTGATTTCTCGACTTACACGGAGTACAATCTGTACGAAGTACATTGTACGCGATCTGGCTCAATGATCGCATTGATCTCCCGTCAACAGCTTTAGGTGTTTGAACAGGATCGCAGGGTAAGCGCATATGAAAGAGAATTTGTTGTGGACCCCAGCATGTCGTTTTGGACTGCTCCGGGGATACTAAGTTGGATCTGGCCCGATCACGCTACTCTCGATGAAAAAGATAGGAGAGAACATGGACACAACTGATTACTTCAGAGCTCAACCAAGTTGGTGTTGTGTGGGGTTTGTGCGTGCGTCTTTATATTTTAGAATGTGTGAAACAGCGTGAGTCAAACGTGTTGAGGTCACGCACGGCTGACAACATGCTATGAGACTGGGGCTATAGTTTCGGAGGCTAGGAGGTCCGCATTAGTGCGGACGAATCAAGGCGATTCACAATAAATTCTAGCGAATCGCCAGCACAAATTGCTTTCTCGTCTTGCGTGAAAGTAAGCGGAATCGTGGAGAATGCGCACAGGTAATAGAAGCTATCGTGGGTACAGCGGTGGCTGTCAGTCCAACAGTAAACCAAGACATTGCGCGATTCCTTGCATAGCTTTCGGCCTTAGTGTGCTCATTTGCCACTCTCTAGGCAACGCCAGCATTCACTTGTTCGTTGTCATTCCTCAGGGCTGAGACCCAACAAAAGCATTTCATTCAGCAGCCGCATTATCGGAATCTGGACCATCAAACTGAGACGCAGTTCTGTACAACTTAGCATTCAAAGTCCTCTCACGAATTAGTCATGGTTGAAAAATTTCAGCAACCGTTAGATTTAAGCATCGCCTTCGATGGTCATTTGGTTTCAAATGGTCACTCCGTGGTGAGAATGAAGTCATGTGCTTGAGTCACATCGCAACTGCGCTTCACTCCTCCTGACAATGGTAACAATGTGGTCATTGTCGTTTTAAGTGGATTTACGACAATATTCGACAAAACGAATGATCACTGGGAGAGACTGGAAGTAGGACGAAGCAAACAGATCACATTGAGTGAGATAAACTTCAAAAACCGCGATCGTAACTTTGAAAACATTTAATTTTGAAGACCGAGTGTGCTCAGTATTTGGAGAGATTTGATTTTGCGTATGTAATTCTCCTAGTTACGTTACTTCGTATCTTTGGACAGCTTCCTTTCAGTGTTCCACGTCATTTGGTTTCAAATGGTCACTCCGTGGTGAGAATGAAGTCATGTGCTTGAGTCACATCGCAACTGTGTTTCACCTAATCCCCAGATAATTGCATCAAAGCCTTCGTCATTTTGAGTGGATTAGCATCAACTTACTGAAGCATACCTAACACCCACAAAACGGATTTTCATGCAAAAAATTAGGATGAATTTGTGAAAATTGAAAACTAAATGCGTGCTCTTGTTGGCTAAGCAGATAAAATCAATTGGAGCGTGACGAAGTCAAAAACCATTAATCAGAGACTTGAAAATACAATTGTTTAAAGACCAGTAATAGAGAACACCACCTCGCACACACCTTGCACAACTGGTTAATTTGCAATTAAGGCAGAGACGTTTTAAATTACCTTACCTGCGCGACACATAAATTAGCGCTCACACCATGCACTTTTGTCTCAATATTCTTTCCGGTGTGTGCGCTGAATCTGATTTTGTGTTTAAATCTATCCAGATCAATGGCAACAGATTTCAAAGTCTCTCAAATCACCATTTCGTAAGGCACCGTTAATCTTCTCCACGTCGCTATCCGCTTCAAGCCTTTCAAGCACGGTTTGGATATTTAAACTGCAAAATTATTTTGTATGCTCACGTTGCAAGAAAATTGGGTAGGCTTTTGTCATTGGTCCACTGCACTCAAGTAGTCATGTCTGATATCGCATAATTATGCTAGAATGCGTTATTGAACCGTTCCGGCAAAGATTCGACGTACCACCAGCATTTTTTGACGCCAGTAACCAAAACGACACCATTACGCCAGGCCATGTAGTGTTACACCATCGATCGTAATGCATCAAGTCCTGATGAACACACATCGACTTGAAGTCCAATTATTCCCTCTCACATCCACCAGTCAATGTGTATTTGGTACACTGTGATCCAGTTGGTTTGTTATTGAGATCTTAAAAGTATGTCAGAACTCATGACGGAGATCTTGAAAAATAACACAAAAAAGTAGCCACCAGGTTTTCGTCGTAGCCAGTAAACAAGTCAGCACGATTTTGTCAGGCTATGTAGAATTACACGTTCCATTTTGTCAGAGCAACTGCAGCTGTTCAAAAGGCAAATGGTTGTAGGATACATTAACTCCTCGAACTTGTGAGGTTTCTAAGAGGATCTGATGTGATGCGGATCAGTCAACTCTCGTTTGAACAAACTCAAGTCAATGCGCACCCAAATGAGAACACCACTTACTGCGTCATCTTTCAGTCGAGGCGGTAAAAACACTTTCGAGGTCTTGTGTTAGTTTTTGCGTGGGGAAGGCGGTGACGCACTTAGACGACCGGTTTGCTTATTTATGATCAGAAATGGATCCGTTTTTACCTGCAACCTTGACGCATTCTCCGGTTCTACAGTAAAATCACTCCAATTAAGGCGTTTTTCTCAAAAGTTAGTCCTTCTGATTGACTTCTAGGGTATAGGAAGTGAATAAATTTGGTGCTCCTCTTGATAATAAAACTAATATTAAAGAAATATTGACCAAACGAAGGGTTAATAAGCCTACTCAGTCCCTGCCATTCTGCGTTTTCTTCCAAATCTTCTAAATGGCGTCAACTTTAACCGCGTTTGCCGTCCAAAATCGAATTTTGTTGGAGGTGTCGAATCCATGACAATTAGTTAACTATCCGACGTCAAATACCATTTCATCGTAAACGGAACGTGCAAATAATGAAGCCTAATTGTTGAACTTTCCATGGAAACTTGTCAAATTGTTCCAAGTGTTAAAAAAAGGCACTTATATAGCAAAAAGTGCACAAATTGTTTTATTAAAAGCTAAAAATGAAAGTCAATGATGGACTTATTTTCACTTCGGTGAGATGTTTGCGATTCAATTTCGTGATTTCTGTTGAACAAACGGAACTTCGTTCGAGGATCAGTTAACTACTCATCACTTCCGTATACGCACTTATAAAAATGTGACGTCATTTGCTTCAAAAACAACGTCAGATTAGTTCTTGCATTGCCTCTCGTCGATTGTGGCTTTGCGCGTAAGTTCAGAGAAGTCGCTATAAAACGCTTGCATATTTTAATGCATGTGGTGTGAATTCCTAACAATTTCTTTGAAAAAATGTATTCTTTCAGGCAAATATTATATCGGATCCTGGATTATGGCTGAGGGTAAGCAGCATTTGGCCAATTCGGCATTTTGTGATAGTTCACGAATCGATGCGAGATCTCGCGTTTTTGATTGGTCGGTGGCGAGGAAAGGGCAAGGGCTTTCACCCACACAGCGCCCCCTTCGAATACGAGGAGGATATCATCTTCGAGAACATTGGCCAGCCAAATTTCGCGTACCAGTAAGCTTGCACCTTTGGTTTTGTTCGCCTACTCATCGTTATCGTGAGTGTAGCTCGCTGATTGGTGGGTTCTTTTGTGTGTTTTTTATAGTTCAACTTCTTTCATCAATAAAGTGCCAAAACACAGAGAATCTGGATTTATTAAGTTTGAGGACAATAATCAAGTCCAGTTGAATCTTGTGGATAGTCTCGGTAAGCGATTATTTGATTATTTGTCGAGGTCAGTATCAAACTGCCCCTATTAGCCAATCATTTTGCTCGGATAATTCAACAGACTCCCTTACAGCACGAGGTGTCTATACTCATCAATATCCCACTTATGTGGATATGCGTTGTTTCAAAAGCCCACTTTGTACTCCTTATCGATCTGTTTGGGGCTGATATTTAGACACAAGACTCTCCTCTCTCTGTAAAGACAGACACGTGTGGTTGTCTACCGGTTATTATGATACTTTTGTTCTAAAATACAAATTTGTGAATGTTAATGAATCGCACTGCTTTTCCACGACAAATTCTCTATTTTGTGATTCTCCATCTCTACTTCGATCAACACTTGATCAGGAATGAGATTTATTAGCTTCAATCTGGGTTAGTTTGTGGGCGACATTCACTCCTGCTTGCTGCACGTATTGTAGGCACGTGTAGAATTTTTCTTGGTGCCCTGAATGACTTCGAACATAATGCCAAATCGCTTGTCCTAACTACGGATTCCTCGTGCAGTGCGCCGCTCTACAAGGAACCTCATATGGTCGGGGTAAGCCTGTTTCATTACCCTAATCGGTTGATTAAAACAAAACAATTATCCAACTACATACGTTTCATATGAAGAATAGCGCCTACTTCGCTCTGCCTGTTTCGTCAATGTAAATATGCATTTCTTTTAGCCTATGCTGTCAGACGCAAAGGTATGTGATTGTGTGTGTGCGTGTGGGCTTTCGAATATTACAAAAATCACAAGCCACAGTTTCATCCAATTGCTCGACTTGGCTTTGGCGTTTTGTACACGTTATGCTCTAATTTCGATAATCGTGCTTATTTTGCTGTAAAAAGAGCTCAGCTAAAGTGCGCAGACACGCAACACTCCAACGCTTCGTGTTCGACTCTCATCTTGGCATAATAATTTACCTTAACCACCAACTTGTGTTGGCTGCTTCGCCACAATTTCCCAACATAAATGTGCATAAAGTCATGTTTTATTTAGGGACATTCTCTAGATGTCCGTTACAATTCCCTGACCCTAGTTGATGGTCAAGTAGTGGCTTGTGGTCTAAGCACTACCTTACAACCCTCTAGTTAACAGGACGTAACAACCCGAGAATGGTGGGAAGGGGGACGACAGGGAACACGACCGTGCATTAGCGACACACCAGCCAAGTGTGTCTTAGTGTGTGGATGAGTGAACGGATGACAGGGATCTGATACAGTAACCAATGAAAAGGAGATGAGTCATTGTCAACGTCAGGTCAGTAACCAGGGTTCACTCAGGCGCGATCGCTGTTAATCCGCTACAGTCAGGTCCGAGAACGTACTTGGATATGAAGGATGTGTTGATGGCATTCAGGAGTCGGTCGTCGGCTGAATTTTACTATCGATGGCGATCACTGAAATTGACATGCGAGGTGATGCAATTGTGGACGCGATTGGAAGAGTCGATTAGCTTAAGTGGACGCGAAATAGAGGAACATGCATTCGATCACCTGATTTCTGGATAAACAGAAATTAACCGCTTATTGGCTAACAGACGGTGATGAAATTACCACATCCTGCCACCCATTGATCGAATTTTTAAAATCAAATTAGGCAGATTTTGCATGCGCCAGATTACTGCGTTGAAACAAGCCCTCTTCTGTAGTTCAAATTCTGCTTAATAACTGGCATCTTCTTCTCCACCGTGCTGATTGGTGCTAGCTGGTTTACATGCCTTTCCATCAAAGCCTTTTTTTTCCAAATTTCGGTTACAAGTTGTTACTGCTTCAACAAATACGGTTGACTTCGTCACGAATAGTGTTTTTGTTCCCTGTTTAAAAATGCCATTCAGTGCTTCTGCTGCTGCATTCTGCGTATTTTTTTCTCACAACGTCAATCAAATTGTCAACAAGACACATTTATTTAACTACCTTGAGAATAGCCAAGGTGAAATCACGATGGAGCGCCAGATTGGCATTGAAAACCGTCGTTATTTTGCCATCATTTCAGTAAATAAAATGACTCGCATTGTTGGCGATCGCGGACGTGAGTTAAAAAACGGTTTGTGTGAATTTTGACGTCAGAAGTGACATTTAATGCTTAAAAAATACTTTTAAGACCTCACGCCTTAAT